AATCTATCAAGCCATCTTCTCCAACAAGATGATTCATTTTGGATGGGTAGTGGCCACAGCCTTAAAGACTGTTAGAGAATGGGAAATTATGATATGAGGAGAATTCATCAATACGATAGTCTCAACCATCCTCAAGAAGAAAGGGAACTCTATCTTTGAAAATTTCTGAGAGTTATGCCTGACAAGGCCACCTAGGCCTACTATGATCAACTTTGACATCCTAGCGAGACATGGCATTGACTTGGCCTCCACTTCGTTCATTTCTAAAGGAGAAGTCCTCAGGACGTTCCCCAATTTGTGCAATCCACATCAAGACCAAGTCCAAGAAAATAGAGGATACACCCACTAAAGAGAAGGAGCAAAGATTTGTCCCTACTAACTACAAAATAGAAAAGAAAATCTGAGTTTCTTCGGGTTCCGAAATAACTCGCTTTAGCTCAAGAAGAGATCAAGGGTGCTATTGCTGACCAAAAATCGAGGTACCTCGTTCAAACCCTACTACGACTCACTATCTTTGCATCCATTGAGGACAATGTCCATTTTAAAGTGTGGGGTCGGAATAGTTGACTAGCTTTACCTTGATTTGCTCGATATATCCTTAGTTGTTCAAAAACTGAACATTTTCAATGCAAAATCCGTGGTGATGTGTTTAAAAGCTTTTGAAAGAACTAAAGAAGGTTTTCCATATAATGACATTAGTCATCGCTCACAAGCATGATCACTTCTCATCTTACTTTAAAACATAGTGTCTTGTTATCATAACGTGATCTATGGAAGCTAGAGTAGTGACTATGAAGGATGTGATAGTCAATGAAGGAGCTATGCAAAGAAAAATATGGAGCTTTTGTGAGAAATAAGAGGTCTAATGAAGGAGAAGTCTACTAGGAGTTGCTATATAATCACAAGGCATGCCCATAGGAGGAAGACTCGGCTCAAGTTGAAGAAAAAAAGAGCGGTGGCAAGCTTCTGGTCCAACCCCCGCTAAGGAGAACCACCCGAAGACATACCCAATTTCCGAGGAGAAGCCATATGTGGATTAGGGAGCCCAACCCACGAAGAAAAGTATTGGTGGTCCGAACACCGCTATACTGCCACCAACCCTAATTCTCCCAGGAAACTTCTTTAGTAAAGCTACTTCGTCCAAAAGTTGATGAAGACTGACTTCAAGTCGGATAAGGAAAGATTCGACCAACTTTTAGTTTTCTATATGTTTGTTATCTTGTTGTGGTGCATTTAAATGTGTGTTGATTATACTACGTCCATGAGAGACAAGGAAACTAATTTCATGTAGTATGCATCATTGCTAGGCTTGCATCAGAGGGAACCCTCTAGTGTTCGAATATTGATGATGCTCGATATCCAAAGATCCTCAATACCATAGACCATCGTTATAATTCGTGGAATCCCATAATTAACAATATGTTATTCTTCATTAATTATGCATAAGCAAAAGCATGAATTAGTTAGTTAAATTCTTACCGTAAGGGGCACATGCACGTGTAGGGAATGCCCTTAGTGGAAGGGATAGAATGTCAACATAGCATTGATGCATATAGGCATCTTATTAAAGAGAAAGTAAGCATGCTCATCTGAGATTATATTTCCTGAACAACTTATCATTTACTTGATTAAACCTTCTCTTTATTTTCATGTGTCTTCTGCTTTTTCTTTATTCATCTACTTGAGTCATTTAAGGAACCTCAACCCATTGATTTTACTTTATGTTATCTCATTCTATCATTCGAGCATCTAGTTTTGAGTAACTACCAACAAAGACCTCATAGAATACGACCCTAGGCACATCTAGAATTATCACTTGTATTTGTATGCATCGCAATTGTATGCCTTTCATGTAGATATAAGGTTGTCGTGGAGATCATTGACAAAAGGTGGGAAGATCAAAAGAGTCGGCCCTTTCACTATGTTGCATATTGGTTGAATCCTCAAATTCATCATTACAGGGTAAGGAATTTAACCATAATGATCCAAAGGTGAATATAGCATTGTATGAATGTGTCGGTTGACTTAAAAAGGATGATGAAGAGAAGTTTAGAATAATGAAACAATTGCACGTATTTAATCATGCTCAAGGCATGTTTGACAAGTTTGGTGCAGTGACCTTAAGGGATTAGCAACATCCAGCTGATTCGTGGACCTCATTTGGAGATGAAGTGCCAAAACTTCAAAAATTTGACATCTGAGTGTTGAGTTTGACTAGTAGTGCTTCTTGGCGCGAGCGTAATTGGAGTGCATTTGAAAGGGTAAGTAAGAAATCGCCTCTACTTTCTTTAAATTATAATCAATTATCATGTTTGTTTGTTATAAGTTTACAAGTACGACTTGTTTTTCCTTCATTCATTTACAAGTGAATTTTTTACCTGTAGATTCATACTTAGAAAAAGAACTTTCATGAACAAAAATGAATGATCTTGTGTATGTCGTGTGCAACAACAAGTTGATGAGGAGAAATGTCAAGAAATCAAGAAGGCTTAAAATTGACTTTGAGGATATAGACTCTGAGAGTTAATGGATTTGTGCTAGGGACAATGAAGAAGAAGATTCACAAGCTGAAGATTTAGGAGTTGGTGGTGGTGGAGAAGGTGATATGATAATGATGTTGAAATTGATCTTGTTGTCCCTCTTAGTGAGGATAGAGGTGATAATGCTATTGATGTTGATGGTGATGGTGACCATGGATATGATAGTCCACTTGATGGTGGCGATGATGGTGATGATGATAAGGAGGATTTGGATGTAAACATTGAAGGTGATGATTTAATGTAGTTTGCTCTATTATCCTTTTTGTGTGCTTTGATTTCAATTTTTAAGAACTTGGAATATTAAACTCGTATATCATTTATAAACTTAAACTACCTTGTTGGAATTTGGATTCTTAAGCTCGTTTGTGGATTACTTAAGATATATGTTTATGAAGTTATATTTAAATTGTTATGACTTATGAGTTTATTCTACTTCAGAAACTACACAAATTAGTTAATTTGTGAGAATTGCATTGTACACATGAATTACATTTTATAAATTCCATGTCGTGCTTGACAGAGTTTTAGCTATTTTACAAGATGCATAAACAACTTATGCTTTTACGCTTTGATTCTACACGTTACGATTTTAACCATTTACCACTTTTAGGTAGAATTGACTTTTGACTGCATTACTTGTAGAAATTCAAAAAGTTAAACATGTTCACTGTGAAGCACTGCAAGAATAAGTTAACTCCCAAAAAGTCACATTGATATGCACCCTAAAACAAAATTTGTGCAGTTGTAGATAGATGGCAATTAAACCCATGACCGCGGGTGCCCCAGTCAACGCGGGGAATCCCCGCTTTGACCGGGTATGGGTAAAACCCGCAAAACGTTTGATGGGTATGTGGCGGGTATGGTTTTAGCCTCCCCAGCCCCATACCCACCCCATTAGGATAATTTCTTCAAATATAAAAAAATATATTTACAACCTATCTATAATAGTGAGGGTAACTTAAGAAAATATTTTGTAGAAATGTAATTGGATGGCTACCCACATCAAAACTCAATTCTTTTTCCTCAACTCTCCCTTCACTCTTTCATTGTTTCGATTGTTAACAAGTTTACCATTGTTTCGATTGTTAATTGTTAACAAGATTATGTTAGGTAGTTATTACTTAGTAGATGTATTAGAGTAAGAGATGATTTGGATTACATTGTATTCTATCTTATAGATTAATGGATGCTTTAGGATAAAATGTTTTGAACCGTGTTAAGAATGATTGTCTCTTTGTCGACTTCATGATATAGTAGAGGTGTGTTTAGTGTTATAATTGAAAATTTATATATTAAATATTAGGTATTAACATGTTGGATGTACGGGATGGGTATTACCCATGGGTACCCGAAACCCACGGGTATAGGAATGGGTTTGGAAAACCTCTCATATGGGTATGGGGCGAGTATGGGTTTGAATATTTGAAAGCAGGGATGATGATGGTGATGGTGTAGGCAAACCCGCCCATTGTAGATCCAAAAGCAAAAATTGATTTCTCTTTTTACCCGTTCTACCTGTTGTCAGTTTCGAATAATGGCTGATATTTTTTCTTTGGAACTAACAGGAACTAATAGAAGGAGCATTGATAGTAGCAACTAGCAAACATCGTAGATGAGCTCATTGCAGAAAACATAACTTTTGCGTGGTATGATATTCCATTGAATTCAGTCACATTTTCTCTTTTCCTCTCTACTTCTCAAATAAGTATGAGAATCCTCCGACATGGTAAGAGAGCCTAGTTATAGCAACCTTGTCGAGCTGGAAAATGGGGCAAATTCATGGTAGCAACTAGCAAGTCCCGAAGAAGATCTAGTGTGCATACAGTACACAGCCGCCATTCTGGTTTAAAAGCTTATGCCAAGCTAGTACTAGAGATACCACGGACAAGATTCTTCCCTCGCCGCCGGAACTTCCACAAGGAACAAGGAAAAGACAATTACAAATCGCATACTTCCTTTCAGCATCTGTTTTCAGATGCCTGCCATCTTCAAGTGAACAAAACAGGGACTTATTTGTCTCATTGTCTGTGCAAGGCTGTGAAAACTAAACTAAACAAACAATGTGGACAAACAGGTCTATGGAACACTAACACCAGTTACTCTGACGTAATAGCTTGATCACATAGGTCATGCACACTGGGAAAGCTTCTATTGGTATCTACTGTCTACTAAGTAATAATCATGTAAGCCTTTCCATCAACAACTTACTGATTAATACCATAAAATCTTAACGACAGTACTTACTTGTAGACAAATGGAATGAGTTCAAAAGTAAACACATCTCACCCAAGTCACAAAGATGATTTATGAATCTGATTCTTCTTCACAACCACTGCACCATAGCTGCATAAGGCCGTCTGGGAAACAACAGCTCACTCACCAAACCCTAAACTGCAAAACTGCAACATGCCATCTTCTTTGAAAGCTTTCCAACAACACCAACGATCGATTTAACAACTCTTAACCCGAAGATCCATCTTCACTCAAGGTTTCAGAAGGCGGCGGCTTCCCGGAGGCACCATTAACAAGCAATTTCTGAATCCTAAAGCTCTCCTCTTCACCAACTTCTAAATCCCCAAACAACTGCTTCCTGTAAACCTGATGCAATTTCCCAAACAACTCCTTCTTAATGGCTTCAAAAGCCATGTCCAGCCTCTCCAACTGCTCCATGGCATTCTGATTACACAGGAACAAGCCATAAAACAACTCGAAGCTATCACCGGACGTGTTCTCCACCAAATTCAGCAACGTCTCGTATCCTTTGGTGTTGATCGGAGACGACTCCAGCCCAAACTTCTCCAACACCCTCCCCATGGCATGGGTCACGAACTGCGAGCCCGCAGCATAGCGATCGTGCTCAGCACAGCTCATCTCCACCATCCTGCACCCTTCTCTACTAAAAATGTCCAAGAACTTGTCGCACCGACTGATCCTATCCTCGTTGTTCCCAATTCGCACCTTATCATACACAAACGGCAACCCTGCCCAAGAATGCTTCCCACTCTCGGGTCCAAACATTGGATGCGTACACAATACATCGAACTCCACGGGCAAATACTTCAACATAATGGTCTTGGCGAATTCTTTCACGGATAGCACATCGACAAAAAGAGTATTGCGTTTCAGCCTCTGAAAGGGGAAGGACTGGAGTACCTTCTCGGAGGAGAGGATGGATGTGCAGAGCAGTACCACTTCCGGGTGGCTCTCGCAGAGATCGTGCGGGTTGGAGTAGAACTGGACGCCGAGGGAGGCGGCGGCGTCGGAGTAGTCGGTGCGGGAGTGGGCGATGACGGTGTGGCCCTGGCGGGTTAGTGTCTTGGCGAGGAACTGGCCGTAATTGCCGAATCCGAGGATGGCGACCTTGAGCGATTGGGACTTGAGGTGCTCGGAGCGGAGCTGGGACTCGTAGTCGAACGGCTGCGCGGCGTCGAGGCAGCGGATGCGGAAAGAGACGGCGGCGGCGGTGGAGGTGGAGAGGGAGAGAGGCGACGGAGGTGGGAGAGGGAGAGATATGGAGCGAGAGGAAGGAGGGACGAAGTTGTGGGAAGAATTGGATGAAATGAAAGTAGAAGAGTGTTTGGAGGTCGTCGAAGCGAAAGAAAACGCCGCCGCCGCCGCCATCGCCATTGTGCCAGAGAAAGAGAGAGGCTCGGCAGCAAATCAATTGCAGTCGGAAGGCTCAGCAGTCACCACCACCTGTTTCTCTTTGACCTAATTTGTAGACGAAATACAAGAAGCAACTAGCATATGGAGGCATAGTTGTCACGCCGGCCGGCGTGCCACCGGTTATACCGGGTTCAACCGGTACCGGTCATAAAACCGGCGTGACACCACCGGTATGACCGGCATGATCGATATACGAATCTCTAAATAAAATGATCTTATTTTAGAAAATTTAATTGATAAAAATTATTTTATTATTTATTTTATGAGTATAAAAGTTAAATATTGATGTTATTTGTTGGATTCAAGTATAAATGTTTAGGTATTGACGTTAAATGTCATGTTTAAATATGAGTATTTATAATTTTATTTGTAATATTGACCGGCATGAACCGGCACAAACCGGTATGTGCCACCGGTTGAACCATTCCACTTGCTAAACCGGCACACTGGCATAAACCGTTGCTATTCGTCGCCCTAAAATTCCTTATTTGTCGCCCTAATTAAGTTAAATTTACTCTAATACCCTTATTTGATTTATTTATCCTTCTCTTTGTCATCTGGATTTGGGTCAAATCCTATGATTGTTTATGACCAAGGTTTTCGTTAAAAACACACACATTTAAGCCAAAGCTCTTCGCCAAGATTAGAGGAGAAAGGAAGTTCGCCCGAAAAGTGGATCTGTCGACGGCGGATTTTGACGAGACGGGGAAGTTGATTTGAACAAAGGGGATCTCATATCTGTTTTTATTTTTTGTTTCGCCTGCGCACAGGGAAGGGCAAAGCCCATCCGATACCCTAACTCTATTGGAGTAAAATTGATGACTAAATTGGCGAGAAGGATGAAATCAATGGCCTAAGGGCTAAGGGGACTCCCTGCAGGAGAATTCATGGCAGAATTGGGGGCGGAAGATGAAGGGGAAGAAAACCCATAAGATGGCGGAGCTGAAGGATGAACAGAATTTTGATTCTCGATTGCTGTAAGCCTGTAACCACCACTTCCGTCGCCACCGCCAATGGACTTGAAGTAACTTCCAATGAGCTACGACGGAGGGAGAGAGACTTGGGTTAGGGGTGAATGCGTCATTTCGGTGTAATTTAGGGCGATAAAATTCAAATTTTAGGGCGACAAATAGCAATTCAGAAAGGCAAATGGGGCATCGAAATAATACGATCAGTTACAACTAGGCTTAATTGCAAGTTTGGTCACTCGAATTGCTATAAAATTTCACGTTTGCCACTCAAAATGATTTATTCCATTTATAGTCACTCGAATTAGTTGAACAGTTCAAGTTCGGTCACTCTCCGTTAACCTCCGTTAACTTTGACTGACGTGGCGGTCAACTCTGACAGTTGACCGTTAAATGTGTGACATAGCAAATAAAAATAATTAAAAAATAAAAATTAAATTTTTAGAAATTACACATCATTATCACAAAAAATTATAATTATAAAAAATGAAAAAAAGAAATTCCTTCCACGTAATTACAAAAACAAACAACACGTCACCATCATCTTCCTCACTAGTTTACGTATACATATAAATACCCCTATCCTCCTCCCTTAATCCTCCATCAACAACCAATAAGTAAACACACTTCATACACATTTCCAATAAACACCTCAATAATAACAACAACAACAATAATAATAATAATAATAATAATAATAATAATAATAATAATAATAATAATAATCTCCACCACCATTCACAATACCAAAACAAAATCCGCCACTAGAATAAGAGATCACACAATAATGGCGGTGAACGAGAAAGCAATCGGAATAGGAGTCTCCATCATCCTGGTGGTCGTAGTCTGCATCGGCGTGATCGCCAGCGTCTCCAAGACCCACGGCAAGGGCGCACCCACGGAATCTGACCACTCCAAGTCGGAGAACTGGTAAAGAGATTTAGGGGTTTGGAGCTTTGTGGATTCGATGGTCTACGACCAGACCCCGCCGACGGAATTCGAGAACTCGAACACGATGGGGTCGAGCCCCATTTCCGTTAGGTGCTTGCAGGCGAGCAAGCCGCTCATTTCGGCGCCAACGACGGCGATTCTCTTCTTCCCCTCCGCTCATTCTGGGAGTTTGTGTTGTTTGTTTTTGTGATAATTACGTGGAAGGAATTTTTTTCATTTTTTATAATTACAGTTTTTTGTGATAATGATGTGTAATTTCTAAAAATTTATTTTTATTTTTTAATTATTTTTTATTTGCCCCGTCACACATTTAACGGTCAATTGTCAGAGTTGACCGCCACGTCAGTCAAAGTTAACGGAGGTTAACGGAGAGTGACCGAACTTGAACTGTTCAACTAATTCGAGTGACTATAAATGGAATAAATCATTTTGAGTGGCAAACGTAAAATTTTATAGCAATTCGAGTGACCAAACTTGCAATTAAGCCGTTACAACTAGGATGGCAATGGGTAGGTTCGGGTCGGGTTTAGCCTATACCAATTTCTAACCCGTCGAATAGAGCTTCTTACTCGACCAAATAATCACCGGGTATGAAAATTATATAACCATACCCTACCCACCGGGTAACCACGGGTATTCGGGTAACCATGAGTATGAATCCTAAACTATGAACTTATACACATATATGCATATACATATTGTTGTCCATTAAAAATTCTCAATACTTGTAACTGTTCTAGTTTCAACAATCCACACAAATAAAAACAGCAAACACATAATAATTGTTCTTGCTTTTACAATCCACACAAATATAATAATCGTCTACATCTTCATCATCAATAATGGTAGTTAAACTCAATTTCTCAAGCTAAAATAAATTTATCAAGGGAAATTGACCCTTTGGTTAGCGGGGCGGGTATAACGGGGCGGGTATTATCGATTACCATACCCGTACCCTACCCTTTATTTTGAAACCAGGTATTACCCGTACCCGCCCCTTAACCCGTTAAAGCGGGTAATTACCCTCGTTGACCGGTTACGGTCGGGTAGGGTACCCATGGTTACGGGTTGGATCGACATCCCTGGTTACAACTTACAAAGGCCCAACTGCAGCCATTTAAGTTTTTAGATCAAACCCAAACCCAACCGATCATGGACCAGGAAACCGGATCGTACCGGCCGGTTCAACCGAGAATCGGACTAGAAATTATACTGTAGCCTGCTGGTGGTCAGAATACCGTGCCGGACGTTTTTCCCGGCTTAACTGGCACAAAAAGAAATATCGTCTTGTTTTGGTCTAACCAGCGGCAAACTGTTTTAAGAAAAACATCGTCGTTTTGTCATTTTAAGTTTTAAAAAAAACACTCGGCCAAAGGCCAACAACTAGAAAACCCTAATCTCTAACAAAAAGCAGCCAAACAAATTCAAGAGCTTTTGCCCTTTCAACGTTTCTCTCTTCCCAGCCAGTCGCGCCGCGCCACTCCTCTTCTTCTCTGACGACTGGCAGTCGGCGATCAGCGAAAGCAACGAAGCAACCCTCAACCCTACTCCGCTCCGCTCCGTCGCTCCTCTTCTCTCCTCATCACCTGTGCCGCCTGCTCGAAAGTCGATTCTCCCTCCCCTGCTCAAGAAGACAAAAACACGACCTCCCCTGCAATTCGGTTTGGAACAGAGCTGACCTGTTGTTGAGGACAATCCCAGATCCCAGTCGTTCTGGCTTTTGTCGCCTCCTGTTCAAAAGAAATCAGTTCCAATCGGAGATATGAGTGAGCGGTTATTTGGGGTAGGTATTGACGACGTCGAAGAACGGTGAGCTGACGTAATCCCACCGCAATCGCTAGCTGCCACTAGGGAGGAAGACATGGGTTGCAATTCCGTTCGTCGATAGAATCAGCTGGTGTTGTTGATGAGTTACAAGAAGAAGGGAAAGGGGTTGACCGAACTCTAATTAGTTTTTTTCTATTCAAATGTTCTTTTAATAGAAAAAATATATGAGAAGATCACCGTCATTGCCCTTTCCACCGAAATAGTTCTGCTTCTTTTGAATTAGCTCAAGCTCCCTATTTGCTCACATAGGATCAAAATCCCGATTTTGGTACGATTTAACGATTTTAACAATTTTAATCCCGATTTTGAACAATTTTAAGGTCCATCGATTTTATAGTAAAATCATGATCGGAATCCCTAAGTAAAATCCTAAAATCCTACGATTTTACGATCAAAATCCCAATTTTGACTGCATTGCCTATATGAGCAATTGACAACTGAATCTAATTTTTTCCATTCTTTTCGTATTGATAAGACTGTGAAAAGAAACCAACCCCTAAACATACTAACATCCGCCATTCGGGATAGCATATCAATTCTTATAATAACAAATATCCAAACAGCCCAGACTAATATCCGACATTGTGAACTAATATCATTTCAAACCAAAACTACTATAAGCTCATAATAAAACAAATACACACACCAATCAGTTTAATATTCGACCACGTACGACTAATCCTAAACCGTAAAATGCCATACACTAAACCCTAAATCCTAGTCACTAAACCCTAATCACTAAATCCTAAACCATATACCCTAAATCTATACCATAAACTCTAATCACTAAACCCTAAACCATAATCATAAAACCCTAAACCCTAATCCCCTATACTCTAAACCCTAAACTCTAATCTCTAAACCATAAAACCTAAACCATAAATTGGTGTAATATGATTGGCTTAGTTGGTGATACTTGAAACCATACTTGACCAATGCGATGGTACATGCATAAATAACAAATGATCACATGAGAATAGTTACCAAAAGATAATATCCACGAGTAAAAAAGATAATATCCATTGCAAACAAAATAATATCAAAACATTAACATAATTATATCCTATTATCACTAATATCCATCCATCGCATATAATATCAGTTCATTAAAAAACAAATATTCGTATCACCAGAAGTAATATCCGACTACAAAAACTAATATCTGTCTACATAAACTAATATCCTTTCACTACAAAACTAAAATTCGTC